CCGGAAGGGGGCTTGGTTCGGAAAGTTGATGAAATATTTGGGTTAATTTTGATATATATTTTGAAATGTAATAATTTATCTATAATTTAAAACAAAAATCGAACTGTTTGACCTATTTGTTAGATTTTAAGGGCCTTTCAAAATTTGGACACGAGTCTTGAAACACCCTGTATACTAAAAATACTCTAGCACAATTGTAACTGCAGCTTTTTGCAGAACTCCAAATGCTTAATGAACACACTTGCAGGTACCACCTGTATTCACACTCAGACCTGAGTTTAGTCATTTTCCGATACGAGATTGGTGACGGGTTCTAAAAACAAACAAACAAACAAACAAACAAACAAACAAACAAACAAACAAACAAACAAACAAACAAACAAACAAACAAACAAACAAACAAACAAACAAACAAACAAACAAACAAACAAACAAACAAACAAACAAACAAACAAACAAGTGCGAACTTAGCTTAAGTGCGACAATTTCTACTGTCCACGAAACTAGAGATACTTACGAAAACACAATGTTAGGATAAACCTGTCGGATTCCCGTATTGTAGTGCGACACGTACCCTAGTGCGACACGTACCCTAGTGCGACACGTACCCTAGTGCGACACGTACCCTAGTGCGACACGTACCCTAGTGCGAAAACCTCCAAGATCGAAATTTTCGCACTACAGTACGCTACCTGGACTGTAGTGCGACACGAACTGAATCGCGACAAAGAGTTCTCTGCGTTTCATGTTCTGTACTATAGACTGAGTTTGCTGAGGCTTCGTATTCATCACAGTAGTGTCGTTCATCAGATTGAGGTGTCCGGAGCAGGTCTTATCAGTGCATCTCCAGTAGGTCTTGTTGTCGCGCTTCTTATCCAGGCAGTAGCGGTATCCGTCGTGGATAAACTTTCTTGAACCAGAAGTAAGTCCAGGAAAGAAGGTGACTGTGGAGGACATGTTGTTCGATGCTTTGGTAGAATCATCGTGACCTTATATATCGCCCAAGCATATGAACTTGTTATCCCAATCAGAGATATGTCTTTATACGATGCGTGTGATATGTCTTTACACGATACGTGTGATAGGAATTAGGATCATCTGCTGCTTACGACTGACTCAGTGGATCACTTCGACATACGTGGCTTGAACGGACCCGAAGGAATTGTGATCACCTGCTGCTTACGACTGGATCTGTCAATCACTTCGAAATACGTGACGAATTTGGAAATATGGCAGGATCTGGTGTCGCACTTCAAGTACAGTACGCTACCTGGACTGTAGTGCGACTCGAACTCTAGTGCGAAAGAGGAAGGTCTTGTTGTACTTGTACTTGTAGGTTTATAACCTACCAAATATGGAACAAATATTTTACGAGTATCACCCGTTAAGAGGTCTTGTCGAACTTCAGGTTTTGCACTACAGTACGTGTCGCACTACCTAGTACGTTTACTTTCGGGAAAATAAGACATAAATTCGATTATAATTGAATCAAAAGTTACTAAGGCCTGATAAAGCTTTTCCGAATAAACTATCAATTTGCAGTCTCCAGGGCGTTCTCTGTACGTGTTGTGCTTTACGAGTCATGGATATTTGTTCTGTGAACTGTGGGTTCAGTGTCATTTAATTTTAAATCTGTTTTATTTTATCTGTATTTTTCTATATCAGACGTCTTCACTCTTCATAAGTTATATCAACAATACTTGACATTAATGTTTGCCTTAAATCACCTTCAAGTTCAGTCTAGTACGATGGTGAAGAAATTATGATGTCTACATTATAGCAGATGAACTACTTGTCAAGAGATGTCCTGCAGTTGAAGTTGTATAATTACAATAACGTAGCTATACAACTTAAAACAGACAATGGATACCAATTGTGATACCGGATGTGATACCAATAGTGGATAATAAAAGTCCTGTTTTGAGTCGAAAAAAGAATGATGTCCAGTTTATAGCAGATGAACTTACTGTACAACTAAAAACTGATAGCGGATCCCAAAAGTGCTGTTGGGAATATGAAAAATGACAAAAAGTGTGTCCCTCTGGCGTTCGCTCTACTTTCTGACAAGACGGAGAGCGATTCGTGAGCAGCAGGTGACTACTGATCTCCATCTCGATCGTGTGGTTGTTGGACTCCAAGAGACGGAGGAACGCAAGCTCTAACTTTGAGCCATATCACATAATATGTAGTACATATTATGTACTAATTTGATAGATTCGACACAGTTTTGGATATTTTTTTTCCGCCATTGTTAAGTTAGTTAAAGTGCTTTGGAAATGGACATGATCTAAGATCTTGCTGCTTGAGCAGAAATATTTTGATGATTTTGTGTGATATATTTTAAGTAATAATTATTATATATTACAATTTCCTATTAAAATGTACATGAATGAAACATTGTTCCTGTTTTGTCTCAGAAATTATAACAGTACTAGTAGAACTAGAAACTATACAGCAGCTTAACTAGGTAGTATCCAGATATAGTCCAGATAGCCCCACCCGAACACCAGCTATCTGGATACTGCCCTAGGAAACCTGTTTAACTGTTCAGTCATTTCTAATGGCAATTGAGTTCAGTTGCAGTTTCAAAGTTAATTAGGTTACCGATTGTGTTTACAATTATTTTCCAAAACTATCCTGTCTAGGAAAAGTCCAAATTGGGTTCAGTTGTCCGATAGCCCTTACAGTTATAATATTAATGTCAATCTAGTGTATATTTTTGCTCAAACTTGCCGTTTTAGTTTAATTCTGATTCCAAATTGAATAGTCCTGTAAATGTAATAGTCGGCCGTCGATAACTTTATCCAAGTTACAGAAAATAGTAAAAATGATAAATTTCTCGATGATTATTTCAGATTTATTGAACACAAGCACACAATGATGTATTTTTTTAATCCAGGTTACAAACGATGGAGCTACAATCCTACGTTCTATCTGAGTAGGCAACTCAGCTGCAAGAAGCCTGGTCAACATTTCTAAACTTAAACTTAAAGTTCAGGACGATGAAGTTGGTAATGGAAATACCTAGTACCTCCGTAATTCACTAACTGTTCTAGCTGCTGAATTTCTCAGGGACCGATTAAATAATGAATATGATGAATACTGGGAAATCGTCACTTCACCTGGTTTGACCTGATAATGTGTATCATTAAAAACATTTACAGATTTAAAATAAAAAGTGGAGTTGACCGCACTCCAGGATCATCAGCCGGATAAGATCCGCGGCAGTGGGACCCCCAATTCTGTTAAATCCCGCCACACGGCAGGATCTAGCAGAGCTATGAGGCTGGCACGAAAAGCAGATAGTTAAAAACTATCTAGCTCCCCCCACTGAGACCGCAAGCACGACTTGGTGCGAGGGCCTTTTAAAATGTCTTTAACTTGAAGTAGTACTAGTAGTGATAAAATCCTGGATTATGATTTTAAAGTGGCACAAACACGACGTGTTGCTTGGCCATTTAAAATGTCATAAAATAGTAGTAAAATCCTGGATCTTGTAGTAAAATGTCGTCAATGTGGTGGTCCATGTCATTCAGTCCTTTTCTGCGTTCATTCGAGAGTTGCTTCTAGTTATAGTTCTCTTAATCAGATATTGGTATGACCACATCTGACGAGAGAGCAGGTCGAAGCATTATCGGAGGCAGCGAGCAGATCTTCTTAGGAGCCAAAGGAGTTGGAACTGATGTTGGTTCGACCTCAATGCTTGGTTCCTTTCTGTCACAGACAGAGATCGAAGCGCTGGAGGAAAGGGATGGCCTCACCATTAGTGGTGGCAGAGAGCAAGTCCTGATCTGAGCCTGAAGAGCATTACTGATCGGTTCCAAGTCAATGGCAATGGTTACAGTCTGTGCCTCGTTCTCGGTGGTCGGTTCCTTTTCTTCCTCGACGGAGATAGCTTGTTGAACCATTAGCGGAGGGAGGGAGCAAACCTCTTTTTCAACATCAGTCTGTGTTGACGAATCTTCAACAGTTCCCTTTTCCAGGTCTTCTGTGATCTGATCCGTTTGAGCTTCATGCTCTGCTGTGAGTGCCGTGATTGGCTTGAAAACATTACGCAGTCTTTTGGTAATCATTCTTTCAAACTCCTCGAAAGTGCGATCCTGCATATTGTTTGCCTCGCGCACTTTGAGGATAACAGCGTGTAGTCTGGTCATCGCTGTCCTGCTGTCCTTCCTGGCAGCTTTGATGAGGTATACGAAGAACCCCAACAAGTTAATCGCCAGGATTATGATGAATATAGCCGTAGCTAATATAGAGTCTCCTTCCATTTTTGAAGCGAGAATCTAGCTGATTGTTCAAAGTGATAAGAACTTAATTTTGTTAACGTATATGAAATTATACTGACGAAACTGTGATCATGATCACGCGTTGCTTGGATATTTATAATCGCGCACGTGCATTTCGCAAATTGGTTGGGAAACTTGCCAATTGGCAATTTTTTTAACTATTTGCTATTGCACGTGCAAAAATGGATCAGAAATTTCTATTTTGGGTCAACAACTATCCTTTTAGACTAAACCATTAGATCCAATTGCTACCCTCAGAAACCGATTAAAATGCCGTGTCCAAAAATGCCGTGTCCAAAGTGCTTGGAAACCTATGATTATTATGTCTTCTTTCAGCACTTTATTCAGAAAACGGCAAATATAATGAACTGAGTAACATTTCTCGTTAGGGTAAGGTTTTTAGCAGATGCTTGGGTTCAAGATTGGGTTAGTGTTCAGATTAGAGGGTAAAGCGAACTGCAACTATTATAATACCGGCAGCCAATCTAATCAAGCATCATGATCAAGACAGGTCGTAAATTATATATCATATCCGCGAGGGCGCGCGCGCGCACCCGCGTAAGTTGGTGAGTAGTGGTAGCGAAAATTCATGATAGATGCAAAACCATGCGGTTTACGCCTCCGTTTGTGCAAGCGGCTATTTGCCATTTTATGTCACGAATTGCCACGTTCGTCAAATGATAACACACAATGATTACAAGAATAGACAACGGGTTACAATTTTTACAAAATAAACTAGCATAAAGCATTCACAATTATTATAAATTAAACTACCTTTTACATTCAAAATAGTAATTTAAAACATATTTTATCGACCAAGAAGGTCAATGCATTTTAATTTGAAACATTGGGTGAAATAGAGACCATTTGATAGCACTTCAAGTTTTCAGCAGTATGTGAAAATCTAAGAGTTAATTACGCAGTTAAAATGAATGCAATAAATACCCGTTAGAGAATTACATTATTTTGTTAGCATTCATTAAAAGTAAATTGAATTAGACAAACATGATCTCATCAAATAAAGTTTGGGCGAAACAATTTGCTTAGAGATGCCTATTCAGATCAAATGTTCCAATTGAAAATTGTGTTTATTACATACCCTCGGCTAACATATCTCCAAATACGAAAATATAAGGATTTTGTAAAGCCATAATAATGTCATCCAATACACTCAGAATGAAATTAAAATACAAAAATGTAAAAGTTCATGATGATCTATGATTTAGAGTGAAGCAGCCAAAGCTTCCCTATACTTCTCATGGTCGTGCATGGTGGCTATCAGCCCATGTTCATTTTTAGGATCTAATTCGTGACTGTAGTTAATTTCATCTCCCCGAAGGTCTGTCTGCGTTCCTCCGATTTCGCGCAAGATGGCATCTCCTGCACAGATGTCCCACTTCTTGATTAAAGTGGTGTGGACATAAACATCTTCAGTTCCTTTGATTACCTCTACTACTTTATATCCAGCGCCTGAAAAGGGGATAACATTTCAGAATATTACTGGCACGATACCATATTTTCAAAAAAATGTACACATTTACAAAGGTACTGATATGTCCATTGTCTATGTCTACATGTCTATAATAAAAGTAATAATATGTCTATTATACAACTCTATAATTTTGCATACATAAAGAGAAAAGCAAAAAACTTCAATAGATGGTTACCGTAATGGGTGCCACATGCCTAGCATGACATATTTACCTATTTACTTGCACTTGTGTAGGTCTGTAGAAACATTAGTATCGGGCGTTGCCTGGTACAGGCTATCCCGAAACTAGAAGCTTGCTTTAATAATAATAAACAACTTACCTCCAGCGCCGGTAATATGGACTTCTTTAGGAGCGAAAGCTTTCTTAGCAATGCCCTCAACTTCGCCCTTGTGAGATAAACTCACTATAACTTCCAGGGCGTCACCTTCTTCAGATCCGTGTAGGCCTTGTAAGGTGTCCGACACACCATGGCCGACCTGAAGAGAATTTAGGTTAAATACCTGAGAGTCTAGACCTGACGATATTATAAAAACCTTCAAACAAGAAACACGCAAACAAGAAAACAGCACTCTTCAAACAATGAAGAGCCTTCAATTCTTTGGTTATGAAAATGATTTTAGGTCTATAGTCGTTCGTCGTGATAAACAAAGCTTTTCTTTTAGAATTAAAATAAATTAAACAGTGTAAATCGCATAAAATCTTATTGACTATATGAGTTTCATGAGTTAATTGAGTTAGCATACAAAAATTGGTGGCTAGTCCTAAGTCCCATCCAATAACGATGAAGCCAAGTTTACAATCACACAAGTCACTGTCAAAACAATCATCAGTCACAGGGACGAATTATAAAAACATGATAACGATTATTTTCAACAAATCATGTGCTTTCGTGGAAGCGTATGTTTGTACATTTGACTGTCACTGTGATACGACCACATTTATGTTATACTGCTTGTGAGTTTTGTAGTTACGTTGTCATGACTAAAAGCAAGGTGCGTAACAATGCTATATTTCAGATTTATCTCTCTACGTGTATCCTTTTATTGGAGTCCTTATCTGCTTTTTGTCCCCTTTTCTGTTCAAGCGCAGATTTCTCCATAATTTGTCCACGAAATTCTAACACATTTTGTTGTCTAGTCCCGCAGTTCCAAACGGTTTTCAATACCAAAGTTTGTCTACAACCCCAACTCCACCGCGACAACAACAACAACACGCTCGCCACTGGCAGAGTACACAGGAACCCACTTCGCTGCAGCTCAGCACGAGTTTTATCATGAGTTTCAAGAGGCTCTGTCTGATGTTAAACGAGATAACACCACCAAGTTAGATGCTATCTACTTGACATTCCAGGGATTCCAGTACATGAGTCTCTACAGTCGGTCAGTGGCCTTTTTTATATGGCATTGTGAAATGTGAGGTTATGCGTTTGGTACAATTAGGAGGAAACAAATGAAAATTAAATACTATCACATTTAAAGAAATCCTATCCTTTCGCGAATTTCCGAAAATGTTAAAATATCCTCCCATCAGTTCCTCTCTCGTTCTGAATTTTAAATACGAAACAGTTCTGAGTGAACGAGAGCCAAAGGTCGACTCCATACTGTGCATTGTTATGGATAAGAAAAATAGAGTAAAGGAGAAAGTGAAAGTGAAAGAGGAAGGGTCGGATTGGGAGGCAGAGGAGGGTATAGATGATAAATATTGGTTAATATGGGGAATGGTATCCCGTGTTACCAAGGACTTGTGCGAAAGCAAAACATGTTGCGTGGAACTGATAAGCGAGATAACATCACTTGAAACACACAAAGTTTTACTAAAACTCACAACGACCCGTAAGCCCATTCTGGCAATGAGTACAAACAAGCATTACGTACAGTTCTCTATCATGAAGGAGATGGGGTACCTAGAGACTGATTTGAACGCTCAGCTGACCCCGATATTGATGAGCAGTGAGGCGAAGAACAAGAGGCCCCACTATTTGAAGACAGTTGAGGTGGAGAAGAATTTTGAGAACTTGAACACGGCGCAGATCGAGGCTGTGGACTGGTGTTTGAATCACAAGATATCTATTGTACAAGGACCGCCAGGTAAGATACTTGTTCGCGAACTTATTCACAAATCATATACTGCTTACTACAAGCTTTCGAATTTTGAAGTGCTCCTTATTATGACATAAACGTAATTGCAACAAAATATTGAAATAACATGAGTTCAGGAACCGGTAAGAGTCACCTAGCACTGCGGCTGATAAAGATGTTGAGTACTTTGGAAGGAATGAGGCCAATACTATTCATCACAGTAAAGAATGCTGTTTTAGATAATGCCTTGCAAAAGCTCATCAACATGAAGGTAAACAGCACTGCGTCCTATCTTCCTAGCTTGGGTCACATTATGAATCAGTCGTGATATATGTGTCACACACGTATTACACACGTATCACACACACACACACATATCACACACATGTCACAACTGCTTCATTCGACAGTTTAAACATGGAGTTTTTAGGATTAAGTTATGGAGGGATGACAATGTGGATCAGAATATCAGATCTAATTAATTAGTCAAACCAGATATATCTGGGATCGGATTTCGAACTTAAGTGTTTGAGTCAAACACTCCAGTTCTAAAAACGCTGTGTTTGACTTTTACTTGTCCAGGTGTTCGACAAAGAAAGAATTCTAAGACTCGGACAAAGATACGATAAAAAACTAAAAGATATAGAAGATATATCTGTCAACTCAGATTACTACAACAAACTGAGGGACGAAGTCAAAACTCACAAAGCCAAGAATCTCCACAGGGTATATCAAGACCTCGACCTATTTCGCGGAAAATCGGAAGAAATATTCCAAAAAGTTGACGAATGTAGGACGATGGACTTATACTCACTTTGGGAGCAGTTTACAAACCACCAAAAGGAGAACTTTCTGAATTATGCAGTAGAGTGGCACTCGCAGGATGTGCCTGGAGTTGTGTGCGACACGAATGAGACAATAAATTTCAGAGACGTGGAGACAGCACTGGATAGATGGTGTCCTGACAAGGACATGTTAAGATATTACAAGGAATCTGAGGGGGTACCATCGCGAGTAGTACAGATACCAGACGAGAGGAAGGTAAGCAGAGATTTAGAGAACGAAGAAGAGGGGGTTATTAGTGTGGACACTAAGGTGTTTCAGATCGCAGATACCAGCGAGTATAGGAGCTTTCACATGGATGACTTTCCGCATGGGTGGCGTAAAATGACCAACACAAAGAAAGTTGAGCAGCTCTGGGATTTGGAGCCGGTGGAGAGACTAAAGTTTATTTACTCTCTGATGTACAGACGGTTATCTAAAGTGGTAAAGGATCTGGACGTCCGTGATGTGGAGCATTTCCACAACAGTGTGCTCAAACAGAAATACCTCAATATGAGAAAAGGGAAGATTTTCCAGAACTTTTCTGTTATCGCCACCACAGTGCACGGTGCTCTACTCCACAAACAGGCATTATCAAAGGTTAGAACTTCAGGCTTTCAGGGGTTATCATCAGGACAATTTCGTATATAAATAACTTATGATTTTATAACCTAGCCTAACTGTATTGGATACTTTAACCCAATCTTTTACTTGACTTGATAACTAAAAAGCAACTGACCAGAATGTATAGATCAGCTAGAACCATGATCACCAAACAACCATCAATCAATAACCATCAATAACCATTCAAACATAAGCTGATAACATCTTCCTCTGACTAGGCAGGAGTAGTGACGGTAGTGTGCGAGGAGGCTAGCCAGGTGTCAGAAAGAGAACTCCTGGTTTCTCTGCCTACCTCTACACTTCACGTTATCATGATAGGTCCGTGTAACTTCTGTCTATTGTACAGAAGTCTACCCGCTAGTTGTAAAACTTGTACTGTAAAGTGTGAATCTTAGTTTTCTTCGTATAAACAATATTAAGCACCAAATTATCAGTACAGTAACACGAAACTGCCCAGGAGATTACAAACAGCTGCCTCCATTCTGCAACATCCCCTCACTCCAAGACTGCAGCACCAGCCTCATGACCCGAATGGTAACCACCAACTATCCCTTCACAACACTAAAAGAGCAGTTCCGAATGACCCCTGAAATAGCCGCCCTCCTCACAGCAACCTATCCTGATCTCGTGACAGTTCCAGTAGCAGATCCAGCTGAGAGACATCTTCCGGAGACTTTCATCAAGTACCCTCTCTTTTGGTGGATCCATGAGAGTTATGAGTACAAGGGAATCTCGCCGTGTAATGAGGCAGAGGCGGAGAAAGTTTGTGCGTTGGCAAAGTATCTTCTGTTACACGGTATTGAGGAGAGGAGGATTACTATTATAGCAGGGTACCAAGGACAGGTAAACACATGCAGCGGAAAGGACACGTACTTACTTTAATTTACCATGCTAATGTGTTCAGGTATTATTTTAAACCTTGACATATCTTTACACTAAGCCAGTTGTTAGAGCTCATAGATTTGAACCCATTGTCCACTGTCCAGGTAACAGCCATTAAAGAGATCCTGAAGAAGAGGGTGGAGAAGGGTAAGGACCCTTCAAAGCTGTTACAACTGCAGATACGGACTATAGACAGTTATCAGGGTAGTGAGAATGATGTGGTGCTGCTGACCCTGACTAGGAATAATCCGCGCAATGCTGTCGGATTCATGGATCTAGCCGGGAGAAGGTTAAACTTCGTTATTTTTCGGTGCACCAAATATATTTTAGCATTTTAGTGAAAACTGGATAGTAATGTGATAGAGATAGATAACGTGTTCGATAAATACCAAATTGAATGAAATCAAATTAGGCCTTATTTGAGCCTATTTGAGCCTATTTGAACTAAACTTGACCAGGTGTGTTGCCTTATCACGGGCACGTCTCGCCCTCTATATCGTGGGAAGTAGAACCTCCTTCAAAGCAACAGAGTGGAACACAGTTATAGACAATCTGGAGAGTAAGGGGATGATGGAAGATACTCTACCACTTGTGAACGAGAAAGGAGAGGAGAGAGCTGTCAAGTCTGCCAAAGAGCTTTATGAGATATGTGATCTTGAATCAGCGCAGGGACTCGGAAATTGGGATGTGTTTTGTGAAAGCACAGCTTAGAAAAATGTACAGCTTTACAGCTTTTTAAGGGTCTTTTGATTGATGAATGATTTTAGCTCGATCGGCCTTGAATATATTTTGGACAATGGACATTGGAAAAACACCGATCTATGATGCTTTTTATGCTTAAAATTTTAATTAATTTTACGGATTACCCAGTTTGTTTGTGTATTTGATACATAATATTCCAACAAAAATTCAACAAAAATCATGAACATAATAAAAAACCAACAAAACTTACCCAAGCCCAATAAGTTTTATCATCGAATGGTTTTCTGATAACCCCAGCAACGGGGACACCTTTAACAGCAACACACGCCATCACAGTCACATACTGGGTTAGCCTCTCTGTATACTCCTTCGTAGCATCTAGCGGGTCTACCCATACTGTTATATCTTCTGCTGCTATCTGTTGGGGTGTATTTACGGATCATGGCAACATCACATTTTATAGTCTGAATTGATTCCATCTGAAACTTTCATCATTGATGAGCGGTATTAACATTGAAACATGGTAGATCATGGAACACATAATGTTTAGGCTGCTAAAATACTGGATGAGAGGGAGCCACACGCTGTTCTTATATTAAGGTAGACGCCAATGAATTATAATCACGACTTATTTACTCCGAAACATTTGTAACCATGACCATGTAAAGTAATCGCCTGATAATGTAAACCCCACAATAAAGCAGAGAGAGAGAGAGATGTTAACCACATTACACTCCTGAATTACAGCGTATTGACGTGTAACACAGGGAATATGTTTGATGAGGTTACTAGATGTGCTCCAATAAGTGCACTTTGTGAGTGTGTGTAATGTGTAGTGTACTACATAGCTACAAGCACACTAGAACTATGGTACTTACGTATGGGTCTGATTTGAGGACTTTCTGAACATCAGGGTGATAGAGGTTGGGAGGAACTACTCCTTCTATTGACTCCTCCTCGTGCTCCTCACTGAAGAAAGCAGGTTAAAACTAATCTCTAACGCTTAATTACTACTAGTAGGGACAGGGTTAGGGTTACGGATGAGGTAATTACGAGGTCACTATACTATGCTAGTATGTAGTCACTATTCAGCGACTACAAGGATATTGCAAGGAAGAAAACTTTGGCAATAAGAACCTTTTGAAAATATTGTTGAAATTGGGCACCCATTTTTCACGGTTCACACGTATAAGATGGGAGTTTCCCGAATCACGTGACATAAAACTTATTGTGAGAGTCGGGTGACAACCGTGTTAAATTGGTAACTTGGAAAAGTCAGATGACCAAACTCAAAATAATAAAATGTACATATATTACATTATATTATATAAGTTAAGTTGAAGCTTACATATCATATTACCTGACAAGGTTAAGGGCAGGGAAAGCTTTCATGAATCCCTTTACAAGAATTCTGTGAGACATTAGGTCACCCTCAGTAAGGGGATCGTTTACTCCCTCTTTAGTTTCACCTTTACTCTGCTCTTGCAGTGCATCTGTTGGTATAAGTCATTTAGTTGAGTCTACACTAAATAATACGTATAATATGTATATACGTATATAGGCTACGCTCTACTAATCATCAACGTCTGGACTCTGGGATCACTCACACATTACACAAGGGCTTTGGAAAAACTTACGCTACTGTAATTTTTACACAAATGCTAAGTGTAAAATTGCTTGTGAAATATCCCTTAGGAAGCAACATCATGTTCACAGTACAAGCAGAGCACAATCAGAACACAAGCAGAACAAACCTTGTTCTCTGATATCTTTAACTAATCTGCCCGCTTTCTCTGACAGATATATAGCAGCTGAGAGGACCTCTGATACCTTGTACTCTCTGTCATACTTACTCCCATAATCGCTCCCATATCCAGCACTCTCTGATATCGAGCCTCTGCAAGTAGGATGTGTTATATTGATGTATTTAGGAGTAACGTCATGTGTATTTATAGGGTGAGAATCTTTTAAATCTTACTGTAAAACGTATTTATCTATTTCACGGAGCGAATTGAATTATGTAAAAACTTGCAAATTATGTAAAAACTTGCAAATTATGCAAAATTATGTTTTTAAATATCATACTGAATTAAACATGTCGGAACAAAGTTGAATCAATCGTTAAGACAAAACAGAATAAAGTCAGACTGTACATGTGTACGTTTTTGAAGACCCCACAGTCTCTGGAAACTGTACTTCTAGCTCACTTAGGCAACAAATTTACTATTGACAAGTATGTATAACCCGCTATTTATAAGCTAAACTTTGTGTCGTAACACACCTCTCGTAACTTAGTTACATTAATTTGTGTGTTAGGATGGTATTTTGAATGTTATGAAGGCAAATTTACTTTCTAGGTTAACAACTATCTAGGGTTTTCATAACAGAGAGAGAGAGATTGCCAAGAGCTATATATACAGCCTAGATCTCAAGAAAAATAATGTTTGATCAGCATATCTCTTATTAGACTTTATATTAACCGTTTTCTTAAACAATTAATTAACTAAAAGGTGTACCTGAATGTGTAGACGAACAACATGAGAACACAGACACATATCAGTAGTATGCCAGTGTTAGAGATGGAGACCCCCGCCGGACCCCTGATAGCCATCTCTCTAATGGAAAATAGAGGTTAAATGTGTTAAGAAATAGTGCCACCAGCAACACAAAGTCAGGACTAGAAATAGTTCACATGCACACGTCACCTCTAAGTGACAAAGGAGAGATTATCAAGTCGGGGAACTTTGAGCAGGGCTGAGGAAGCGCAACGTTTTAAGAGAACTGAACTAGGAAATAAAAGCTGTAAAGTGCAGACATCTCATATTATAATATAAACTCGTTACATCATTAGCTAAGCAAACATTAGCCTCCGCCCTCCGTACTGTGAAAGTGCTTTATTCGAATTTTGTGGAACGAACCTTATTCACATAATTTGATCATATTCTCTGACATAATCATGATAATTTAATATCAAGATTTAAAACATTATAGGCAGTTTCCCAGATGTGTTGCTGGGGAAAGTAAGGTGAATAGCGATAGCAGTTTTTATGTCGATTTTGTTAAACTGTTATAATATTGTGTATTGTCACACGCCCGCTTGAAGCGACTGATGCTATTGTTAATGAAAACTACACAACATTATTTACGTAAATACAGCTTCATACAACACCATTACTTCAGTACATACATTATACAAAATATCATAAAACACAGCATAGTAAAATCAATGACTGATTATAAATCAACAAGGGTCACTTAGCCTGGAGGTCATCCAAGTTCATTGACAGGCACTACGTAAATATTACAAAACAATAAAATAAAAGCAAATTCCAATCATATTTGAATAACTAACATAACGTCACAACATAACACCTCAACCCCACACACTATACAAGTAACACTGAAACTAACTAAATAGAGCAGAGTAAGTGCAACGTGCACTGCCACATAGTCATGGGATAATGTGGACCTCAACAACGCACCTCAACATCTTGGTGCGATAAGTTGTACACTTTTATAATAATAGCCACAAAGTTGTATAAATTGTATAGTGTATAGTGGAGGGGGAGGCCACGCAACGCGAACGGTTTTGCATTGTCAACAGGTTGTATGGGAACAAAAGCTCTGTAGTTTTAACAATAGTTCCAGTTACGATTAATTAAATTTAAACAATTATAAATTGTGCTGACGTGTGAAAAAGTGGTTGGATAATTTAATAAATTTTGTATAAAAAATATCGAAAATGAAAATGTCAATACTTATACCCAAATTTATCCAATTCCATAATTAACAATAAACAATATTCTGTATTCTGATATTGATTTATTAATCCATGTAATTATGATTAATTTTACCCAAAAATATAACACAAAACATCATTAAACAGTGTGCATAAAATTCGTATAAAAAGATAAAACCACTACATACAGTTTATTTTACATACATGGCTTAATTAACAGCCACAAAAAAAACAAGCCACTCTCTCAGCCCTTATACGCAGCAACATTCTTATCAGTTTCATGAACCTTCACTTTGTTCATCATAACCCCACCCGGTAGCCTACTCTCCAACTGCTGCCAGAAGAAGATACAGATGTTCTCCACAGTGGAGGGTTTATCAGCGAAGAAGGGTACGTCTTTGTCAAGGAACTTATGGTCCACCTGCTCTATAACGGATTGTATCTCTCGTTTTAAGATTCCGATGTCGATCACCATCCCTGTTTGTTCGTCAACCCTACCTTTGACACGAACCTCTACCTGGGTAAAGGAATGTAATCATAAAATAGCACAAAACATCATAAATGATAAAATGGCATACATGTATATGGAGTCAATGGAAAAATCTTAGAGAAATTTACATTTATGCCATTTTAGGTATTAACCACATTAAAATTTGAATAATAGGAGTATGAGGCAGTTGCTAGGAACCTAAACCTTGTAGTTGTGTCCGTGGCCGTTCTCCAGGAGCACTTGTCAAATATCTTAAAGTTCTCCTCGTCTGACAGATCTCTGACAAAGAGCCTGTGAGCTGCACTGAACTGCTCTGTCCTGGTTAACAGTACTTCACGTGACATACTGTACCTGTTGAGATATTGGGTCAGGTCGTTTGTTAGATTGGTAGCACAGAGAAAGGGTTCTGACACAATTCACTGTAATGACGTGTACTGAACCGATGAACAATATTTGTTTAAATCTTAAATTGAATGGTTACTGTACTTTAAAGGACGGGATTTGTAAACCAGAATAAGCACACCATTGACAAAACTTAAATAAACTCGAACTCATATATGATGTTTCCACTTGACAAAATAATAAATCTGTATAATCAACATTTATTTTCACGCTAATTATCAAAATTCTATCACATAACATAACATATTAACAGTCAAACGCCAGTTGAAGAGTCCTGGGGCCTGGGGGCCGGGGGATGTAACGAAATTTATTTGACTATATTCGATCCGGATTTTGACTGAATTTATAATATACGTTATGTAACTGGTAACTCAAACCAACAACGTTTACAATAAAAATGTCCTATAATCCCTTTAATTAAATCAAAAAGAATTTTAAAGAACTACTTTTCTAAGCCCTTACAGTAAATAATTAACTTAGAATATAAGTATAGACCTGATATGATTATGAGATAAGTATGTAAATAAATGTTATTGGTCTCAAAAATGCTTAAAATATGTACAAAAACGCTCAATTTTATATTAATTGTATCCATAAATTATATCTAGCTTGTATACAATTCTCAATAGATGATAATCATAACTTCAAAGACTGTTCTTTAAATTTCTTAACGTTAGGAGACAAATACAGTGGTTTATAATGTGCAAAGTCATCTAGTGCTTTTCAATCTTTGCACAGATTTTGGCCTTGATTTGAACCAACTTGAACGTGCTCGAAGAGCCTCCTGCACAATGGTGCTCTCCTCAGCAGTAAAATGAAGCAGAACACTGATAACTTTCAGTAGATAAGCTGTTTCATTATCAAGACAGCACATGAATTTTACGACACAATGTTTTAAATATTCTAAGTTTATGGGCTCCATCATTGTGAATGTTCCATCGTTTGAATTTTTGATCGCATTATCAGTCGAAGTAACAGGAATGACCTCGTATTTTCTGTTCAGAGCAGGACTGGCTCGTGAGGTTGAGGGTGAGACGTTGCTGCCACCTCGAAGTTCATCTTGAAGTGTTCTCTTCATGTCGGACAAATGCTGCTGGTTCTGTTTTAGCTGCTTTGTCTTGCTTGCTAATTCAATTTCCAGTCCTTTACATTTGTCTCGAACATCATGTAGTTCCTCCTCAATGTCTTTACGAGTAGCAATATCAACTTCAGTAACACCTTTGAAAAACTTGGCTTGAAGAGAGCTAGAAACAGGTAATATCGTGGCTTGACTTGACCTTCGGAAAAGTTCCACCTCTTGTTTTAGAGCGTCTCTTTTATCAGATAGATTAGTAAGTTGTCGTTTAAAGTCAGCCTCAAGCTCGTTCCTCTCCTCAGACCAACTCTCCCTGGCCACTGTAAGGTAATCGTTTTCTTGCTTCAACTCTTCTTCATTCTGCTGTGAAGCTGCCAGTTCCTCTCTCAATGACAGTATCGTGGCATACAAAGACTCGTGCTTTTCAAGCTTCAATTCTAAGCTCTCGATCAACCTCTGCTGCTTCTCCTCAGCAACAGCATAGTTGGCACGAGCAGATTCGCTTTCTTTTGATTTCGCTTTCAAATCGTCCAAATCATCCTGAAGATTTGATTTGAGAGTTTTTGTGGCAGAAGCAGCAATCCCGAGCTGCTCAACAAGTTCTGTCTGCTTCTTGCACTCTTGTTTGCATTCCTTGTACTGGGAAGTGATGGTATCAATATCCTCTTGAAGGTCACTTAAGCTCTTAGTGTAACTTGATCTAGTAACTTCTAGCTCAGTTCTAACGTCTGTTAACAGGTTTTGTGTCCTATCAACAGCATTGGCAAGCTCAAGAGAATCACATTTCTGGGTATCAATTACGAGATCCTTGTTCTTCATGTCCTCACGCAGGCGATTAATTCGGAAGTCTTTATCACCGCTCTTCTGCTGGATATCTTCCAGTTCTAACTCTAGCTTGACAACATGTTTTTCGAGAGCTTCAATCTCTTGCTGATACGAGGCTACTTGCCAGTTCAGAGCGTCTAAATCTTCTTTTGCAACCCTTTCTGTGTCCTCATCGCAAGAATCTTCAGCATGATCTTCATCCATACCAGACGCTTGTGATTGGGCCTTATTGGAAGCAGCTTGTAGTTGAATATTCCGACACCGCTCCTCAGTCTCATGGTATGTGTCTTGCAAAGCTTGTAAGTCGTCATCTTTCATTTTGATTAAATCTTTCATTTTCTGGATCTGTATTTCACAGTGTTCCTGAACCTCAACCAGCTCTTGGTAAGCTTTCTCCAGGGATTCAGCTTTGTTCTGCCATGCAACAGCATCTGCGGAATTATTTTTCTTCTTACTTAACTTCTCGTTGTCTTTTTTAAGCTTATCCACCTGATTTTGAAGCTGGTTACAAGCTGAAACTTTTTCTGCATTAAGCTTTTCTTCCAGCTGTTGTCTGTTAACTTCATTTGTATCCTCAAGTTTTTCGTAAGCTCGTTCCAATGCAAGTCTACCTTCTTCCTCTTTCTTACAGTTATCCTCCAATTCATTCACCCTTTTCTCACGTTCCTTGATAACACTTTGCAACTTCTTGTTGTCGTTATCTTTCTTACCGATCTGGGCCTTTAAATCGTCAATAATGTCCTCCAGGTTCCCAAACATAGCCCTGGGAGTCGGGGGCAGGTCTTCATTGATACTGGAGAGGCTCTCCAGGGACTGGTGGTGATTGTTTAGGACAGAGACATTGGGGTCTGCTGTGGAGTGATTATCTTCAACTAAGGAAGAGGAACTGACGCTGCGCACACTTAGCAGAGACGAATCAAGCCCGGAGGAGTTGAGCGTCTTCTGTTTGAGGTTCTTAAACATAGTTCCATACTGTACTGGGGAGGTAAGTGTGTTAGCAGTTACAAATGGAAATGTTACAAATACAATCGGATCTTTACGTTTCTTTGATGCTTAAATCTGTATTGAGAAAACGATGCAATGTTCACAATTATCAGAAACGAGGATTCAAATTATCGTACCGTTGGATCGAGATCTTATGAAATATTTTTTATCTTAGCGTAACTTATCTCTATAATGAGGCAGATTATTTGACCCAGCCAACTGAATTAAAAAAATAATTTTAATCAATAAAACGTTACTCTTCGTAATGTAATGAATACAAATAAACATGCAATCTCAGTTTATTGGTAAGCAAATATTTTAAAAACAACTAAATATTATGATAGAAAATACGTAAAAGTAAGAAGACTTTTGCAGCCGTATAAATTAGTATAATTTTTTAAAAAACATGAATCGAAAATTAATCAGGTCCAAAAAATATTTTGGTCAGGAAAACATTTTAAATCAGGGTCAGTCACTTAAAATAGAAAACCTATAGTTTCATTAAATATAAAATATGAAGGGAAAATAAATATAACAAAAACGAAAAAAGTATCCTATTATAAGTTAATGTTATATTATTTCTTCCGTTCAAAAACACTGACGGACCAGGAGATTCCATTCTCTTCCGTTACTGTCCCTTGTGGCACATCAGGATCTCTGAAATAGTGTTCTCTCAGTGCCAAGATAATCGAAAAATTAGAACTACCATCGTTTAAAGAAAAGCTGTCAAAATGTCAGCCTAGCACGATGGAATATGAAAACTTACATAACAAGGTTGAAATACTTATATAACTTATATAACTTACAAAACTTACATAACAAGGTTGAAATCTTCTTCAACAAAGGAAGGGAAGAACACTTCACAGTCGAATTTTCCTTGTATCATAGTTATGTACATTCTGTGTAGTCTGTCACTCTTCATTGCCTCCTGAAATTTACGACGGTGATTAAATTTATGTGGTACAAAAATGATTTGATTAAAAAACATTTCTCGTTTTTTATAGAATTTTAAGAGATAGCATACAATTTCCGGGCAGGACAGAATACAAAATGTATGGTTACAAACCTGGTACATACCGAAACCACCACAAATCCAAACATCTCCAACCTCATCATCATCGTCTATCTTTTTCATACACTGACTCAGTGTCTTAAATACTGGCACACTTCCTGGATTGGCTACACTGAATGGTTTGGACGAGTTCGCATCAATCATCAACTTTATGTTTTAGAAACAATTTATACCCTATTCACAACGTAAACATGTACAATTATCCGGTACATATAATCATAATTGGACATGATCTCTACTGTTCAGTTATAACTTTAGAAGATGATTGATTTACATATTACGTTAAACTATTTAAACTCACTGACAAGTAAAAATATTAAACTCTAATACACTTACTCGATAGTTGATGATATAACATAGTTATGTCTATTTTTAAGCGGTCTAAACTTCTCCGGGATCGACTCCCACGTGTTCCGTCCCACGATGGCCGCTGCCTTTTTCCCGTCTTTCAGTCTGCTAGAAGTGGCGACGAAATGTCTGTATTCTTTCCTGTGGTAGGAAAACTTACTTTAGAAGCAAATAAGTCGATTTAAATAATTATACATGAAAGGTCATCATGAGGATGATAAGCTGTTTCATTATAAGTTGTTTCATTACATGTGACCATCACTAACCTGCATCTCCAAGGAAGTTCGTTGTTTCTGCCGATACCACCCTCCGAATCTTTAGCCACTAACAGACTGAATCTCTTCATCCTATAACATTTGTATGTCATGATATTTTGTCAACATTACAATGTATTAAACTGTTGTAGATATTAGATATGTATTAGGCATTTGCTGGATTAAATTATTTGTCAAATAAACCTGTTATCAAAATCCCGATAAAGAGGCGAGACAAAAGAAATCAATTCGATCTGACCAACATAAGATAAATATACTAGAAAAAGTCACTACACTTTGTCTTTCACAAACTTAGCGATAAAGAAGCCAATAGTATCCACATCAACGCTACTGTCCAAATCACTGTTAGGCAAAAATCTTTGTACCTTCAAAACATCATCATTAGACAGACCCTCGACAAGAATCCCTGGCTGGCCTAAAAGCGGCTCTGCGGCAACCAGTCTCATTTCCGGGAAACTCCTCAATATCCTGGCAACCATCATTTCATTCTCTTGCTTGGGTAAAGTGCATGTTGAGTAAACAAATGTTCCGCCATACCTTAACATTTTAACAGCATCAGCAACAAAACACCACTGATAGGAGGGATATGTAGATATCTCTTTGAGCTGTAGGTTGTTGGTGAGTTGAGGCCGCTGCCCCATGGCACTGCAGGGTGGATCCAGTAATATTCTGTCAAACACCTCTCTCCCAAAGGGTGGCTTTAATAAGGAGTCAGATTCTTCGCTAAAAGCAAGAGTGGCATCACATTTGAATACACTGATGCAGTTTAAGTTTTGTTTGGCAACGTTTGATTTCAATTTTTCAACTTTGGTTTGAACTTTCTCCAGGGCAACAACAGTGCCTTTGTCCCCCATAAGTTGAGCTATATGTGTAGTTTTACCTCCGGGAGCAGAGCACATATCTAAAATATGATCTCCTGGTTGTGGGTCTAAAACATGAGATGTCACTATTGAGGGTAGATTTTGTAGGAACATCTGCTCTTCTAAAATCCCGTTCAAACTGGGAAGTTCGATACGTCGTTCAGTTATCTCAACTCCAACGCCACTTTTAACCATATTTTTGAAAATATCAAAACGTGTCAATTTCAAAACACCGTTTGCAATGTGAACCGTTGAGCCGTCGTAGTTTTTCTCTCCTTTCTTGCATTTTTGAGCTAAATCAACGTGAACAGAGACCTTAGAACCAGCCTGGAGATGTGGCAGTCCCTTTATTCCCGGAGCAAATATGTCAGCTCCTCTCAGTACTGCTTTACCGCATTTCTGATCGACAACAACTCTACCAAGACAGCCTTCGTCTGATAGTTCTCTTCTCCTCCCAGAAACAACAATTAAATCCCCGAGTATTGGATGCTCTGTCACATTGAACTGACTTCCTATCAGCGCCTTAAGGTTTGATATCACATCAGCTGTTTTGTAATGGAGAGAGTTGACTCGTATTGTGGTATTTTTAGGAGGAAGAGGTAGGCTACATGATATCTCACTCAGCTGTTCGGAGGAGAATGTTGTGTTGAGATAATCTAGCACTAAAGGGTGAAACGTGCAAGGCTGGGAGACTTCTGAAGAGACAGTGTCTTTTGTTAGTAAACACGAGTCCATGTCGGCTGGTCTTTTCTGGATTATCATTGGCAGTCTTGGAATTGGATAGTTTTCTGATAAAGAGTTATGGGGAAATTTCGTTGCATTATTACTAATCTGTAAATAATAGCAAACCAGGTTAGTTAAGGAGCACGACCATGAGTTAATAAGTCTATATTTCATTAGATTGACTCATGAAAATCATCAATTTAGAGTATGTTAATTTAAATTATAATGAAATATAACAAATACAATGGTAAATAAAATCTTAAATATATAATACAAGGAAAATTAATGAAGCTGTAAAAACCATTAAAAATCTAAAAATTGTCAGCATTTAAAAAGTGGATCTATCCACTGCAAGGATCATAGAAAGATCAACACTAGAATGCACCGTGTCTACCAGTATAAGGTAGAAATATTTCAGATGCAAATAATAGTTATGCATCATCGCTTCCCTCTTTTTGAAGCACTCCCTTTAGCTTTTGACTTGGGATCAGGTTTACGTTTTGCTTTGGGTGAGGGCGCAGCTGAAGGAAGAACTTTAAAGAAACTGTCCAATCTTCCTTGTTTGGATTTGCTTTTAGCTGCTAAGATCTTTTTTACACCATTTTTGACACGTTCCTCTGCAAAGTTTTTCTCGTTGCAAAGATACTGTATCAGACCGGCCTCATCGGGGTCGTTAAACTTTAACTCTATCTTATCACCATCTTCGACATCAGGTTCTTTAAACAACCTGAAATAATGATATTTTAAATTCATTAAGTTTTCGATATAATCATAATATCATTAAAAAACGGAGTGAATCTGAATTTCCATGTCAAAGATAATACCATGATTTACCTTCTAGCCTCTTTGTAAGGCCAGTCAGCAGGTGGTGGATACTTCTCCTTGTCTATTTTAGTGAGGATTGTTTCTATGTCTTGGTGATCTTGGATCAGAGCCAAGGCTTTCTTCGGTCCTATACCTAAAGGGGGACATGTACAAATTAAAACAAAATCAAACAAATTATAACAATAAATCGACAGTCAAAGTAAAGTAATTAATAATTACTTTTAATTGATTTGATCACTATTACAAGCAGATTTTCATTGTGCAGTCATTTATTACTTATCAAAAGCACGGAACCTTAATTGAGCACGGAAAAAATCTTCAGCAATTAGTACAAGTACAACTATTCACAACAAACCTTTAATGGTATCACAGTAGTCACAGCCTAACATAATACAGAGGTCAATAAACTTGTCCATACTGAGACCAGACTCTTTCAGTATCCTGTCAAGGTCGAACTCCTGTATCGGTATCTTCCTGGACTCACTGAACGTCAGATGTCGAACCAGTTTCTGAAAGTTTTGAAATTCTCACATGATGTAACACTTTAACATGTACACAATGAGCCCCATATATCACAACGTACTCAAGCTCATAGAGCTCTGTAGTTATACACTCAAGCTAGATTATAACACAAAACACACACATTGGTGAAAGATTGAAAAGGTAAAGGGTTAAGACCGGTTAAACATTAACAATATCATAACAATTGGTCGCTACTAAACAAAACATTGTTGAGTGTAACACTGTACATTTGCAATATTAAATTATATAATAACAATTATTATATTATAATTATATTTATAAATATAATGTAAGTGACTTGTTTATATAAATATAAACAAGTCACTTACATTCGTTCCAAATGTCAAAGCGTCCATATCTTCAGTGCCAACACCATAACACTTGCCCTTTTTGACGAGCTCAGCACACTGGGCCTCGGCCTCGCATGGTGCAGTGACGTGAGGTACACCCATTAGGGTCAACAGACGTTTTACATCTTCTGTGTGCTGCTTATCAACCTTAACCAACCTGAACATTTGTTGCTGATAATCTTTCATGAAACGTATCTACTGCTCCAATAATAACATTTAAAAAAATAAAATTTGGTAGCTTAAACACAAACTCTAAGCCCAGTGGATAAACCACAGAACTTATGCTCTATTGTGTGAAACAAAGATACTAGATCAAGATTACTATCGAGGAGTGTATGCATAGGACATAAAAAGTTTTGGAACGAACATGACATGCTTATGAAGCGAGCTAACAGTTTAATAATTAATAAGTTCAAAAAGATCATGACATTAGGTTGCATCCTAAACAGTTTAAGCAAATAACATAAAGTTATATAACATATCAATTTCAAAGATTATGCTAATTCAAAGTCGGTGTCAATTCACAATAAATTAATTGCTCTGCAGGATTTTTTATAAGATCTTTTATCTTAACTTAAAAAGTTAAAATGATTTGGATTCAACCCAAAAGATTTCTGGAAAGCAAGCAAACCTTTTCGAGAATTTCTCAATGTTCTCTGCATCGCCCTTTTCCTCAGCTATTTGCAATTCTTTAGCAGCAGCTTCACGTTTTTCTGTTCTTTTAGCCAGCTCACCTCCCTTCATTGTTGGTGGTTTACCTGGTAAAAGTAAGACTTACAAAGAGTCGCCCACAATTATCGATTATGAAATATACACTGTATACAATTATCTAAGGTAAGACTGTTTGATAATTTTCTTTCTTTGTTCAACTAAGTGACGAATCTTTGTTAGGTGAAGTTTCAATGTAATTGATACTTTCAAACTGTCATCTATATTATCAAATTTTAAAATGTATCTTCATAAATATTCGTCACTTATTTGTTCAGCATAGAAAGAGAACTATTTATCAACTATACACAAGTGCCAGACATTATGGGAAATATGAATATTTGATGTGTTTGTTGTAAATTTAATATGATTATGAGATCACAACCATTTAATAATGAGAATAATTAGTGGCACGATCTGAGTGATACATTAACTAAATCAACTAACCGTCAAATACATATACAGGTTTGAGACCATTGTCCATCATTCTGATTGTTCTGTAAAACATCCCAATGATGTGGCTTGTGGTTTCTCCTTTATCGTCAGTTAGTTGGTAGGATCCTTCAGTTCTGACAGCAATGAGGAACTGATACAAACACATACTTGCATCCACAGCTATTGTTCTCCCGAAGTAATTCTGAAAAGATTTTGGAGATGAAATAAATTATTGTATTTTATTTGTAACAAATCAATCTAGGAATGTAAATCAGGTTAAGTCAGCAATGAATTATCATGCAGGATAGCCAAGAATGAGAAGATTGTCAAATATACAACATTCCTAACCTTCATTTCTTGCTGCTTAATTGAGCCAGGTGCTATGTCAGCAATCACCTTGGACAGCTGCTTAATTCCCATTACTGACCTATCAAAGAAGTTTACATTAAGTCTAGCTACATTTTTTGATGTTCATGCGAAAAAATGAGTGAGAAGCTTTCTGAATAAAGTTTTTCCTCGCATAATGACTTTCACATTTCACATGCACACAAGGGCAAAATAATGGTAGTGCAAAAGATCAATACATCCATTGCCCTGGTGTCACATGAAACATTTGAGTGAAGATAAGAAATAAGATGTATATAATGAAAATATAAAACAAGTTTAACACAGAATTGCAACAATGGCTTTTTCTTAGACAATGGAGAATTGACTCACTGTCTCAAACTCAATTTTAATAACAATTCATTTCGATTTCGGACAGGATCAAGTTAGAGAAGTTTTTGGCCTATTTGATTTGCATGGTTTAATTTAACTTTAGGGAATTGCCCAGGCTCAGAATTTAAAAAATAAGGACTAGAGGAGAGAGGCTGTGGGGGGAGGGGTGACAACATGCGATGTGGTGAATGCAATGATATACCACTATCAACAAAGAATGATAAGGCGAAATTGACCTGATCAATATGTGACAATGCAGTGCTTTCACAGACATGAAAGCACAGGAGAACATTGGCACTTAGGTCTTTTTTAATGCCCCCTACAGCTTTTTGTACATCAAAATAATTTTTGCCTAATATCTGTGGTTTCATCCCTATTTAGCAGAAGTTTATTAACCTGAACTAGGTCATTTAGGTATAATTTATTAAAGATGATGTGTTTTGAAAATATGTGTGTATTTGATTGATTATGTCACTGTACTTACCTTTATATTATTCATTTTCTGTTTTCAGCGCTGTGTTGCTACACGCTGTATAGCATGTGGGTCAAGCGCGGTGCCGCGCCTAAGCAGCAAAAGAGTTATTTATTTTAAAATTTATTTTTGTATCTCAAAAATGATGTAAAGTTTTTAATATGACGTAGAATTAAAGCTATTTCCGTACAGCCTAAGTATGCTCGTTAGAAAAACTATGAACATGCTAGCTTTCTTTATTTTTGTTAGTCGGCTGACATCTTGGGTTGTACTGGATGTAACAAGTTTATTATCGTATGTCTACTTATATTTATTATGATATCCTTATTCATTGTAATGGCAATAAAATTTAAATTTTGTTTTACTTAAAATTTTGTTTTACTTATTATACCTACATGTATTGTATGGTTTCTGCTTCTATTTAGTTTAGTGTGGTTTACAATAATTTAAGATGTTTTAATTTTGTCTTTGCCTTATGATGAGTTATACTTTGTTCACTTTTACACATTTGCTCACATCACTCACAGTCAACCGCTCTGACATGGTTAACCACCTTCCTTGTGTTCTTGGTTAATCATATGAGCGGGATATAAATACCTCATTTCATTTCATTTCATATATTTGATTGTTTAAAGTTCAGAAATATTTGTAGCAATGGACCATTTCCGTTACCTATGTATTGTGCTATGCTTATTACACCACTTGAATTGATTATGCTCTGCCAATTGCACCACTTGAAAATATCTTTTCCAGTTATTCAGGTTATTTATTAAATTTGTAATTTTAATCATTAAGATATTTTTATGAATATATATTTGTGATGATCTTACATATCATTAAGTTTTGATTTGATTTGATTTTTTATGTACACTAGCCATGAGAGGCAGAAGAAAAATGCATACAATAAATAAAATGGATCATTGAAGTAGAACACATTTACACCAATAGTCTAATATCAACAACAGGTGGAATGAGAAAAAAGCGAATACCTTTTAGCTGATAAACTGTTTTATTTAGAAAATTAAGTCAAAGATATAATGAAATGGATTTTTAAATTGTTACCATTTTATCAAATTTAATAATTAATTCGTCATTCATATATTCTACCTTATAGTTTGATAACAACCATTGCTGGAATCTTCAGCTAACACAAGTGAAATAACTTACTTCGCCTAACCATGAGCCTTCCCGTGACGTGCTTGACGATACTGCAAGCACAAGAAGGTTCGATGTTCTAATTAGGGCATATAAATTAGTGCATGCTAAGTATTCATAAATACGTTATTTAACTTGCTAGACTATTGCTTGATTATCTCACGGATGTAATTAAATGTAATTAAATGTAATTAAATGTGCTAGTAGCTTGAAAAGAGCGCCGCACATGTTGGGGGGGGGGGGGCAACCATATCAAAGTATATTAAAATGTAGGATTTTCCCCGATATACTTTAATATACTTTAATATACCTACAATATACTTTAATATATCCCTATCTCCTTGGAGGCCTACATCAAAAATTGTTGCCCAAAATAAGCTTGAAATGCAATTCTTAATCGATTCCAAAAAGTTCTTGAAAAAATATTGAAAACTGATGGAGTTATTTCAATTTTAATGAAGTCATTTTGGCTAGTATTCCGAACCGAGATATTATGTGCAATTTTTCCAATTTTGTTCATGGAGGCCTTTTAACTTAGTATCCACTTGTCATACGTTGATAGATAGCAGTATACGAAGCCCAAATTGTATCAATCATCATGTACAATTGCAGTAGTTGGTGTCCTACTGCAAAGTCACTAGAAAAACTAGACATTTGCCATAGAAAACACCTTAGATCATTACTGAACATTTATTGGCCTCATGGAACAATATCCAATGCAAACTTATACCTAAGATGTAACTCAGTTAAGCTATCAGATCGTGTCCTTAAAGCAAGGTGGAAGCTCCTAGGTCATATCTTGCGTAGTGCTGATGACTCCCCCGCTGCATTAGCGTTAAAGTTTGCTGTCACAACAAACTGTAAAGGGCGCGTCGGTGCGCATCGTAAGAATTTGTTCAAGATTATTGTTAATGATTTGACCCGTAGAGGTTTAAAACTTAACTCTTTGAATGATCTTAATAAGCTTAAGATATTAGCCGATGATAGGAAAGAAATTTTTTTTTTTTTTTTTTTAGGAAAGAAAATTTTTTATTTACCACAAAACAATCAATACATAATGTTATATTCATAAATAAATTCAAATTTCAATTTCAAACACATATACAGTACGCCGCGCACACAGCCACAATTTAAAATTGTTCAGAAATTCGTAGGTCAGCTGTAGGCGCCGCGCACATGATCTATTTAATTGTTATCTTACAATACATGTCAATACATATCTTACAATTACATGTCACATTTCTTAATTTCTAGAGCCAAAATTTCAGAAGCAAAATAATTTAAAATATATTTCTGTCGTTCACGCAGTACAGGCCGTGAACACTGCGACCTAATTAATATAATAATGGAGAGATTCCAAAAAACCGCGCGCTCGTTATTTGTGATTAAATTGAGTGCGCGCCACTGTCAACCGCAGTACCGCTCAAGCATGAAGTACTAAGCGGTACGCAGTTTTGCGTGAGGCGTAGACATTTGTAGCACACGTTTCATTCAACTAATCCATTATGTGACATGTAATTATATTAAAGCAAAAAGAATATTAATTTTAGTAATAATTGACGTAAACATATGTGTTTAAATAACATCTATAATCTAGCGAGTTACTAATACCATTTGTTTGTATTATTGATTATATATGTTTACACTAGCCTATATTATGATGGAGATATACATTGCATTATATAATTGCTCCAATATTCAACACTGCTAAACAACAAATACCTACTCGCCCATCGATGAAGCAGTCGCCAAAACAAAGCTCAAAGTTAATATATCCTCGTACTTCGTTTTGGAAACTGTAGAATTCCAATAAATAATTAGTGTTTCAATTGTGTATTCGATGGGCAAGCACTCGCCACTCGAGGCCGAGACAAACGGCACCAGCTCCGCCCTGCAACCATGAAGTAATGTAAGCAGTAAGGCGGGGCGGTGGTGTGCGCCGTTTATACGGCCCACAGCACGAGACATTTTGAGCTCCAAGACTTAAGACTATAAAAGTCCCGAATTAAACATAGCGACTTACCATCGTCAGCCGTCAAAAATTTAGAATTTGTATGTTATAAACTCTACACCTGCTATCAGTATAACATGTAATTTAGTTTGTTATTGGCTAAATTTTCAACTCGATTAAGCGATGCAGACGGATGAACTAGGCTTCTCCTCCGTCAAAAACACAATGAGAGGGGGTTGTGGAAGGACACGAACACTATTCGTTAACTAGATAGAGTTGCTTGGAGAAACAAATTTTAACTCTAGCTGTCTTGATCTGTACTGATCACCATTTTAGGATGACTTGATTTCTTTTAGGGGTTTTGAATATTTTAATGGTGTAAACAGTTTCTTAATAATAAATAATAATACGTTGTATGACCCGCCTGTATCGTCAGGACGATAAAGGGGTGAAACGCCTGTGGGGGTCGCAACGTGATACAAGTATACACTATACTGCCGTTCCCTGAGAAAAGGCAGTAAGTCACATCGATGTCATTTTGAGAAAATGGGACAAACGTGTTTGTCGTTTTTTAGATAATTTCATTCGTATAAACGGGGTTAATTTTGACATCTATGTGTAAATAAATTGTTGTCATATGTCCTAAACATGCTTAAAAGCATAAATTAACCAACACAGATCTATAAAAACCATTTTCCTCCAGAATAACCGAACTATTTTCCCATCTACATTGGACTTACTGCCTTTTCTGAGGGAATTGCGGACTTACTGCCTTTTATCAGGATCGATTTCACCCGATTCCTCTCTAGAAAGGCAGTAAGTCCATTTTTCCTCAGATAAAGTCAACACAAAAATAAAACATTTCTATATCTTTGGTCATATCCTTGCAATATAATTATGTGGGCCTCCTGTGCATTGCAAGTGTGTAATATTGACGAAAAATGGATAATTTCTTGCTCAAAATGCCTATGAGTATTGCTGAAAGCACAGTGTAAGGCCTACACGGACCGCCTCTAACTAGCCAATCCCTGTTTACATGCCGTGTAGCAGGGGACTAGAAAGAGCTAAACTAGTAAGCGGGGCATAGCCAATACACTATACTTCCATCATTGAGTACATTACCAACCA